TTGCCTTCCTCTCCCACCTCAGACCTGTTTGGCCCACGCACATGCTGGACCAGAAAGGGAAAAGTTAGGATGCCAGGCCCTGCCTCTGAGGACACACGCTCTGTGCCCTTGGTCATCCAATTTTAGTGCAAAAGCTGGAGTGAAGAGTGCACCGGAGTGAAGAGTGCACTGGAGTGAATAGTTCCACCCCTGCCGCATTAGGCAACAGGCTCAAATAAATACATTCCTGAAGTGGGGTGTATGACACAAATGGCAGCTATGTTTCCCCCGTGGCTAATCTGATTCGGTTTGGCTGGCGATGGGTTGGCACAGCACGCAAAAGCCAGGGGTGCAAAGACCAGGCTGACGCTGATGGCGGGGAGAATCCGGCAGCGGTCAGAGAGCAGAGCGTAAGGGAGAGGCAGCGGCGGGACGCAGGGGTGTCACTGGCTGTAGGCCTCGAACGTGCGTGGTAGGCTGGATTCCTCCCAGGTAGGCACACACAGCAAGGTGTCACCCTGCCTTGCCCAAATAAACAGCCGCTGGGAGGGGAAGTCAAGCTGTCCGACCAAATGCTGCCCTCTGTGGAAAGCGGTGACCGGGGCAGATGGGCTCGGATATCCGTTGGGCCCTTAACCTTAGGCCACGTCCAGGTCCACATCGGGGTAGCTGAACGCCTTCAGGTCTCTGAAGCAAACTCACCTGGGACTGGCCAGTGGCGGGTTGCAGGAAATGCCCTGAGCGCAACTGCGGGCATTGGGGTTTGCGGCATCGCTTTCGTTTGAAAGCAGCCCAAAAGAGGAGTTCTGGGTGAAATGACTGCTTGGTGTTTAGGCAGCGGTTGTGGGGAGACCCTCTTGGGGTCACTTCAGGGCTTTGAACTTGCTCCTTTGGCTTGTAGGCCAAAATAGCATTCCTCCACGTGAGGAATAAAATTGAGGAGCCTTCCAGTGGGCTGCTTCCCAGGCAGGGTGTTGTGGTGTTTTTTAAGGCTCTGCAGCAGATGAGCCGTCATTTTCTGGCACGCAAAACGGTTGGCGGTGGCAGATGCGTAGTCAGCGGGACCCTGCAGGGCTTTCAGCGGGTCCCGTCTTAATGCCCTCCACCGCGGTGGCCAGTCCGGCCTGAGCGGGAGGTAGGGGACAAAAAGGGAATGAGGTGTGTGTGTGCCGCGTGTGCACCCGGTGGTGTGTGTGTGTGCCTCGGAGGGGGGTGTG